TGTTCCAGCTCGCGGGACTGGCCTAAGGGATTTTAAAGGGGTTTTAATTACTTTTAAATTGGACGTATTTAAATATTTCTTTTTAATCGATTTTTAATTAGATGTATAACATGTTAGCATTTTATCTATTGTCAGCCGCCCTGAGTCCGCAAGGAGAAGGGCGGGATATAAATGTAATTAAATAAATAAATAAATAAAACGGTTGCCTTCAGCAACCAGCACCTCCCACACCTTCCCTTTTATTATGCAGCCAAGATGTGGCTTCCTAATGCCTTCTCCTTTGTCTTTGGAGCCGCCCCATTGCATTCCTCTGTCCTACTCGCTTCTCTTGCTTGCACATTCATGCATCCGGGATCTGTCCCAGCTGTTCTTCATCACTGTCCAACTCAGACTCCCAGCACAGTTGTGTTTCAGCCTGAGCACGAGTAGAGGGGCCAGGCTCCTCGTCAGACTGTAAGTCTTGGAGCTCCTCAGAGCCTTCCTCTGACTCTGATGTCACTCCAGGCCCCTCCTCCTCCCCCTCCTCTGATTCCCCAGACTCAGCTGCCAGGTCCACTGGCTGGCGAGGAATCACAACACACATGACCGAAGTTGTAAGTCTGAGGACCACATGTAGGTCACTTTTTTTTCCAGTGCCACTGTTAACTCCCAACGGTCACTAAATGAACAGCTGTAAGTCAAAGACTACCTGTCCTTCCCCCGTCAGCTGATGAGTCCCCTCCCACGTTTCTGCTCCCAAGAAAACTGATGGGTACATTTGACCTTTGCAGGAAGTGAAACCACCGTCTCTCAAATCTTGCTGACTCAGCATGGCATCCCCCTGATGAATATGTCGGACGGAAAAGCATATTGCTTTAATCCTTCTCTGTCTTCCTGGTGAGTCTCAGAGTGGGAGATATAAGGAAGGCGATTCTTTAAGAGCTAAGCAGGATAGATCTGCAGCTAATACTTTCCGGAACAAACTATAAGTAAATATGACAATAAGATGTGGTTTTATTTTGCTCCATTCCTGTCCTGGGCGAAAGATAAGGTCCACCCATGAACTTCCAATTAAACTGATTTATTGCTACTCATGTCTGTGTCTTCCCAATTCATGCTTAGCACTAGAATGGAGTTAGATAAGAATTCAAGGGGAATTGGACTCGAACTAATTGTGGCTACGTAGGGATTCTAGGCTGGCGCCTCTCTTGACCCCACCACCCTCCGGTTCTGCCATTCCTTGTCCTACAGTTTCTTGGGCTTGCTGTCAATTACAAGAATACAGGCTTGTTTGTTTGTTTTTTTTAAAACTGGAAACCTATTTTGCAGTTGGCCAGCCTGTTTAAGTGGAAGTCTGGCTTTGCACGGCGGGATGAATCTTAAACGGGAATCAAGGTTGGGCTGGATGGGAAACGAAATGGGTTAAATTTCCAACTTGCAAGTGTTTAATTTTGCGAGAAGGCCCGCCCTCCCCCAACTGGGTTAACTGGGACATGTTCTCTCTTTCCAGGAACCTTGTCTCTGACAAGCAGGAAATGTTGGCTCAGTGCGCAGACTTCAGGAGCAGTCTACCATCCCAGGAGGCCATGCTGTGTTCGGGACCTTTAGCCATCATCCAAGGACGAATGTCTAAGTACGACCTTGTCTCGTCTCGCTCAAGCTCTCCACCTTTAGCCACCGGGCCATCAGAACGGGCCAAGCTCTTGACCACCAAAAGCTTGGTGACCCCTGCTTTGAACTCTGAACACAGCAGCCCCTGTTGGAACTGTGCAGATTTCCCCCCAAAAGCTCCTTCATAGTTTTCCCGTCAAAGGCAGGGGAAATCAGGAGAGTCATACAGTTCAAATGAGTACAGATAGTCCTCGACTTACGACAGTTCGTTTAGCGTCCGTTCAAACTTACAACAATGCTGAAAAAAGTGACTTTAGGACCATTTTTCACACTTAACAACGGTTGCGGCCTCCCCCTGGTCAC